CGTAAAAACTAGCCATTTCTATATAGCAAAATATTTTTTAAGTTCACAAAGAAGCTGAAAAATAATTTTATATTTTTATTCTACGCCTTTTAGAATGTACGTTCTACGACTACTTATTACTACGGACACGTAGATTATTGGTTCTGCCTATTTCATTTGTATCTACCAAGTGTTGAATTTTTGTTCTACTAAATGCTTTGTCTTCTATATTTTCGTAGAATGTTGTTTCTACCGTTTGCACTATCATCTACCAAATTCAGAATACGCATTCTACCACATTGTCTATCATCTACCATATCTAGAATATAAATTCTATCACATTGTCTATCATATACCAAAACTAGAATGTGTTTTCTACTAAGTTAGTTTTTAAATTCCTTAAATCTATGATCTTAAAACAAGTAAATATTTTAGTTTTCTTAAATGATTTTTAACTATATTTTTTAAAGACATTTTCTTCTTCTTCTTTTTTTTCATTTTGTGAACCATCCGTGTTCCATTATGATACCTAGGGATAGGCAAACGGGAATTCAGAACGAGAATTTTTTAGAACAGTAACGGAATGGAATTGGGGAATCAAAATATTTGTCCCACTCATGTCTCATATACAATTTGGGATGAGACACGTAGGGATAGGAACGGAACGAGAATTCCCAAAAAAAAAATATCACAAAAAAAAATTGTAAAATCTAAATCACGTCCATCACATTTTTGAGAAAAACAAAAACCCATGATAAAAGCAAAATGAAATAAAATAAACTAAAATCATAAGAAATATCAAAAGAACGTTTAAACTTCAAATCTATGGTATTAACAATATGCAATTGAATTAACTAAAATCATAATAAATTCAAACAAATCAAAATAAAGTCTAATTGGATCAACACTCTCAAATCTCAACAGACTAACGTAGATGTCGAGGTTTGAAAAGGTTTTATAATCGTGTTTATAACTTTATATAAGACAAATTAGAATTTTACATCTAATATAATATTAATTAATAATTTTGATAGCATATATTAATTAATAATTTTGGTAGCATAATAAAAAATTACTAACATATATAAAAAATTAGGAAACTC